GGGAGTGGTCTCGGACACGGATCTTAGCCAAGAACACAACAGGAGTATATATGTGAGCTAAGTGTAGGCGAATGAGTGCGGAGGTGACACAGTCAAGAACACAAATCAATCTTGACATTTTGGACCGTTTTTTTATTATACTAAGTGACGGGACGAACAAGATGGCACCTCATGGTAAGCGACACGCCTGTCCATAACAGTTGCAGTGCTACTTAAAAGTCACCTTTAAGTCGCAAATATCTGAGAGGCACTGCCACGGATACCGTCACTTTGAGTCATGCTGGTCTGCCAGAATTCGATTCCCATGCCGGGAGAAACATTTATGTGACCTACATTTATTTCTTTCGTATAGAGTTTGGGTGTAATTTGTGGTTGTCTAGGTGTCATGGCATACAGAGAAACTCGAGAAGCTAAACGGTACACAAAATGATTGCTTCTACTATGAAATATTTTGTCTTTTCTTATCTATCGATGATCAGTGCCTAATACTACAAGCAGCTTCAAGGAAAATGGGTAATTAGTGGGTGCCTGGAGACCTATCATACAGGCTAGACCTAGTTTAGGCTCCAGTCTCCCACAAATGTAACAAACTAATCTATGTTGTTAATATGCGTCCTGTAGCTTTGTGAGGGAAAGAAATAATTTTGTATTTGCAAATTAAAACTGAAGACGACCCTCCATTAGAGAGCATGTCTAGGTGCAGCATTATTGGCGTTTGTTCAAGTCGTTCACTCTATGCCTCTTTAGTATCTTACTCTGGTTCCAACGTGCCTAGATGAGGTTGGCTGTAAGGAGTGTTATATGTTCATTCTCGTGAAAAATGATATATTGTGATAAGAATCAATCAAAACAATTTGAAATGAGAAATAACAGTTTCGAAAAGTCATTTTTAATCGAAATTGGTTTTCATTTTAATTACATTTATGTCAGTAAGGATTCCTCTTTAGTAGCAGTAGAGCTTCTTGTGAAAGAGTTCGTCCGGAGAAATATAAGTTGGCAAACTTACCTATTTCTGCCGACAAGCAGTAATGTAAGCATTACTGCGTTCCGGTTTAGGAGGGTAAGGATGCTGAAGAAATTGCAGGCACATGGGACTTGTCATCTTATGTCTCAGGGTTAAGGGCGTTGTGGCAGTTCCCCTAAAATCTTTGCGATTTAAAGCTCTGAGTGGCATTGCAACTGTTATGGACAGGCGTGTTGCTTACCACCAGGTGCACGATTTGTTCGTCCCGTCTCTTGGTGTTATATAAAAAAAAAATATGGTGCGGAAAAAGGCGTTTCGACAAAAGGCAATGAAAACTTGCAAATTAAGACAATATTGAATTAATTTGCATAAAAGACGTCCACTTGCTCGCCCTTTATAACACTTCGCTGTATTTATGTACCAATTATATAAGGCTAATGGTACTTTGTTTCAGTGTATTTTCAATTTTATTACTCTTTAAAACACATAGATGTTGTAATTATTGAAAGCCATTAGGGCTGACTTCCTTAACTTCAACAGCAGTAGAGCTCCTTGTGAAAGAACTCGTCCAGGGAAGTACTGCCACTTTACCTATTTCTGCCATCAAGCAGTAATATACGCATTAATGCGTTCCGGTTTTGAAGAGTAAGGCTACTGGTGAAATTACAAGCACATGGGGCTTATCAATTTATATCCCAGGGTAACAGTCTCAGTGGCAGTGCCCCTCAGGTCTTTACGATTTAAAGCTCTGAGTAGCACTGCAACTGTCATGACATGCATACACTTGCCACCAGACGCACGACTTTATCATCCTGTCACTCATAGGGCTAGCACGATAGCGCGAAATAGTTCTCGCATGTGATGAGAATTGCAATTGTGTCGTCCTCGTGCAAGTTGTGCCCTGTCGTGCTAGCCCTATTAGTACCATAAAAAAAATATTTTATTTTTATAAAATAAGTATTGTATTCTTATAGCTTTCATTGATGATATACATAAACATGGTACACGTCTGTAGAATTAGCCTGTGCACTCTGAGCTTAAAGTTATGTTGGTTTTGTCGTTTGGAATATAAGCAAAGGACACGCCTACAGTCTCCGTTGGCTTAGTAAAAATGGAAGAAAAATATGTGTATAATATAACTTTCGTTATGCACTTTTCGCTCAATTGAATTAACATAGAACTTCTTTTTGAAAATAAATATATATAAATATGGATCTAACACGTATACTACACAGATACTCAGGAAATTTACTATGTGATTAGGACGTCTTCTTGTGTGCTGTATTCCAGAGATTTGTTTTTCATACATTCTTTCTGAATAAGTCTATCTTTGTTATTTTATTTCCATAAGGCTCTCAAAAAACGTCAAAAATGATACACTCCATGTCATACAGAGTCGTAGAAAAATGTTACTACTTTTTTATCACACCAAGTGACGGGAACAAGCCGTGAGACTGTTGGTAAGCGACACGCCTGTCCATAACATTAAAATTAAAATGCCACTCTTTAAATCACAAAAATCTGAGGGGTACTGCCACTTCGCCCGTCACCCTGAGACATAACTTGACGTTCTATGTGCCTTTACCAGTACCCTTATCCCTCAAAACCGGGACGCGATAACGAGAGCATTATTGTTTGGCGGCAGAAATAGATAAGGTGGGAGCACTTTCTTGGACGAACTCTTTCGCAAAAAGCTCTATTGCTATATGTTTATTAGGTATGTTTTAATTTGCAACTACTGTATTCAAAGTATGAATTAAAACATTTTTTTTACTGTAACTTCGTTGCTGCTTTTGTGGTCAGGGGTTTTTTAGTAGCCAAGGAAATTTTAAGATGCTCGTATTGTAAAGGCTCTAGTGGATGTTTTATGGTGCTCCTGCTTTGGCTTCTCAATGACCCACGGACAATTAAAAATAAAATAATAGCCATATGTAGCTCAGAATACGTAAGTAACCATTTGTATAAATAAAGGGATCTTAGACCTAACGCCAAACATAAACAAAGAAATTTGATTCATTGTTTGTAATAATTTTAATTCCTCAATTCTCCAAATTTCTTCAAATTCGTCCGTATATCAAACGTTAGTAACAACTGAGTTAAAATGCCGGCTAGAAGGTTTAGTGTCGGTTAACGATAACAGAAATAAAAATCCTACACATCTGTTATCCATCATTCACACACCAGGCATAACAAAGCGGCTACGCTAGTGATGAACAAAACTGATGTCACTATTACAGATGCAACTGACTCGTCTGAATCAGAATACTGAATTGAAAACGGAATCACTTATTTTCATTTACTATTGTATTCGATTGGAATGTTTGTACGAATGATTGATGTAACCTTTTTTCTCTATTACGTAATTTGGAGATACTCAGGTAATGATAAAAACAGTGCTGCTGCTAAACTATTCATAAAATTCGTCAAGTTAACACCTCTTACAGAAATTCGCAACCTTTGCAAATCGCCAGTCTCTTGACTAGCTATCTTAATTAATTAGATTTTTTTTATAATATCAAGTGACGGGACGAACAAGTTGTGCGCCTGATGGTGAACTACATGCCTGTCCATAACAATTGCAGTGCCACTCAGAGCTTTAAAACACAAAGATCTGAGGGGCACTGGCCACGGCGCCTGTCACCCTGAGATCAAGTCCCATGTGCCTGTACTTTAACCAGCATCCTTACACCTTACAAACCTTACACTTTTCAAAACCGGGATACAGTAATGCTGACATTAGCGCTTGGCGGCACTTTCACAAGGAGCTCTACTGCTACTAAATTAGATTTTTTAGGGTAATGTGTTTTCGGTTTAGCACTTCATATAGAGCAAAACATCCAGAATAACTGACATAGCCCAAAGAATTGCAAAACTTAAGTGGCAATCATCGGAGCACATTGCTCGCAAAACAAATAGCCGATGGGGTCAAATAGTTTTCGAGTGGCGATCGCGTACCGGAAGATGCAGCGTGGGCAGAACACCGACAAGTTGGACCGACGACTCGGCGAACTTACTGAGCACTTAATGATACATATTACGCAATGATGACAAACTGAACGACAAAAATATGAGATGCGGGAGTGACACTCTGAAACTGTCAATCACTATTTGATACGCTCCTCGCCCGTGGACCTGAAACAGGAACTCTAATTCAAAACGACTTTTATTATGTAAAGTATGATAACCTTTCAATTCTAATAGAATGGAATTTAAGCTCCAGTTTGAAATTATAATTCAGTTTATATAATATACGTTTCAGGCATACAACACATTAATTATTTATAACTATTTGACGGAACCCTGTTGTCACGTGCGGTACACACTTGTCATTTGGTTCTGTTGCCTGAAACAATTGCATATTGTTATAAGTTTACCTGAAACTTTGAGCCGGATCAGATTTTAAATTTATTATTGCTGTGGCTTGGCAGTGAAGTTTTTTTGTTATTTTATATTATAAACTATATAATATTTCATCAACAGGTAAGTTTTCTTTTACATAGCTTAATTAACTTTGCCAAAATTACTTTGCTTGATCACCGTTAAATTTCAATTTAGTATATCTTGGCGAATACCACTGTTATTAATTATTACTTACTTAATTGCATGCATAATAGACAGCTTCCTTAGCCGAACTGTAAATGGATTAATTACATTACAACATAGAAGGTGAATATGTATGTATATGATATATTTTACATATGTGTATAACTTTAATCCATCAAAATATTAAATTATACTTACTAGTTTCACACACTGAAAATAAACATCATGGAAATAAACAGGATGCTGTTTAGGATGATATATGAATCCATCAAGCAGAATGATTTCAGCAACCGTTTTAACGATTGCAATAAGTATTTCGATATTGCAGTAACTATTTTAATGATTGCAGCAAGTATTTTAATATCGCATTAACCATTTTAATGATTGCAGCAACTATTTTAAGTAAAGAATTGAACCATGTTCTGATTGATTCCATTCAATATCTTGGTGGGCTAACTTGATTAACTTCAATGTTTTTCAGTGCAGAGTTATAATGTGGCTAATATTGTTATGTTATATCTTTCGAACCTATGCCAAAGAAGATTCAACAGACGCTCCTGTAACTTTACATACAGAAGCAAATATATTACAGAAGTTTTATGTACCAAACTGGGATGATCTGGACACCCGTCCGCTTCCCCAGTGGTATGATGTCGCAAAAATTGGCATTTTCATTCACTGGGGAGTTTATTCTGTACCTAGTTATAAAAATGAATGGTTCTGGTACATGTGGCACCAAGGTAAACAGGATTTTTTTTAAATATTAATTTACATTAACGCACAAGTACGTATGCAAACTTCACAATTTTAAAATGAGTAACTCTAGGTTTTTTTTTATAATATCAAGTGACGGGACTAACAAATCAGGTGCACCTTAATTCCTTATAACATGTTCTGAATCAATTTAGGTGCAAAATAATTTTATACATCAATTAAAACAACTTTACGATGAGAACTTCTGAATCTGCGGAAAGTAAACAGCTGTTGTATACATTTAGTTTGACGGGTTTTTCTCGATCTCAGAGGGTAAGTAAAAGTTGTTCATATTGATGGGTAGAATTTTCGAAAGCTTTTGGGGTCATTCTATAGTAATTGGGATTTATTGGTTTCCATGGCAATTCAATAACACCAAGTTTGCTATATTATTAGAGCGGTAGTAGTCTAGGAGGCGAACGGCTATTTAGAAGATGACGTTTCGAATGTGATGGCATGTACCTGTTTAGTTAAATGCAACTAAACAGGTACATGCCATCACATTCGAAACGTCAAGTAAGATAACTGTGAATTTTCTTGTAACGTATAAAACTTGTTTAAAGATTTCTCTAACAATTTGCACTAAACATGAAATGGAAAGACCAAATGAGGCTGTCACCGTAAAAGTATAGTGTTTTTTTTAATGGGATAGCATGCGGAAATCCGAAACCATAGAAGATACAATGAAAGTATCTTATTATTATTATTATGTTAAGTCTTTTTTTGTGAAAACAATTTTGGTATAGTCAATTTTTTGGTCAAGTTGTAAATAAACAAGAATAAAATTGATTAAAATTTTTTTAGTGCTAATGACCGGGTGTTGTGGGCGGAGTGGGTTCTCGTAGATTCATCACTACGCGTCCCCGATCCATAAAAACCTGAGAAAAGTCTTGAAAGTTACCCAATTTGATTGTACCTCACGTTGACGATGAAGGAAAACATCATGATGAAACCTGCATGTCGAAGAAGGTTCACATTCCTTTGGAAACTTGAAAAAACCCTCTCCTTACAAGAGAGCCAATTCCAAGTATTGTGACGTATAATAATGGTTTGATAATGGTGATGAAAATTACCTGAATCCAGATTCTCTCAAAATTCCTGACGTGAAGTACTTGTTCTAAAATGTGTACTTAATGTAGAAAACAAAATATATCCTTGTGTTGTAGGTGACAGCGAAATAAAACAGTTTATTGAAAATGAACGCTACAACGGTACATACAAAGGCTTTGCACCATATTTTACAGCAGAACTATTCGACCCCGACACATGGGCAGAACTTTTCGCCAAAGCTGGAGCCAAGTTTGTTTAATTATTTTTTAATTTTTTTTTAATACGAGTATTAATTTTAATAGTTACAACAGCTTTATGTTTAAATAGAAACTACCGTGTGATAGACATATTAACTAAACTTACAGATATTTCAATTCGCATTCTTGCTCGACATGTTTGAAACTAGTCCGTGGTCGTTACTCATGAGCCCTCCACACTTCCCTAGCTTTAAGTACCACACCGCTTCCCACATATTGACGGCTACGTGGGGAGCGGTGTGGTACTTCGGTTCCGTTCGCGAACGACGAGTTCAATGTTTAAACAATTTAAGGGCAGGTTTTTTTTTTCACCAGCATCCTTACGTATAAAATTCACATTACTGCTTGGCGGCAGAAATAGGTAAGGTGGCAGTACTTCCCTGGACGAACTCTTCCACAAAGAGCTCTACTGATACTAAGGTATTTCAACGCGAGCCTACATTTTAGGAGCTGAGCTGAAAGTTAGTATTTTATCAGTAACACAAGAACAAGCAGAAAAAATTTTACACAGATACGTCGTCGACAAACGCCCGGTGGCGACTGACGGGGCGGCTGGCGGCGCGGCGTGTCGTTATATTAGTATTGTTGACAATATTCATATTTTTAGATAAATGTGAATTTAATAACTATGGGACTTACGTTGGAAACCAAAATGTAGTGGGTTCTCTGTATACTTGCAGAGAAATTATACTTAAAGAGAAATGTCTCAATATAAAACTTATGTGCAAAGTTAGATATTTTGTATTTAAATAATTCTTTTTAGACTTTTATTTTAGTCTGTTTTCAGGATTTTATATGATCGAATAAAATGCATTCTATCATGTAATAAATTAGCAGAAGCTTTAGACAATATCCTTAGGTATATTGTGTATTTTTTATATAACCATTGCTTATTAGTAAATGTCTAAGCCATTGCTCTAGCAAAATAGTTAACACTTTTAACAAAACAGGGGAAGCTCAAGATTAAGGACCATAGACTGGTTCGAAACGTGTCGAGCAACAATGCGACTTAAATACGTGAATTATCCGTTAGCTTAATAAATATCTTTATGTTTACGAGAATGGTAAACTACTTAGTTCGTATAATAATGTCTTGCCATTGGTTAATTTGCATAAGTATGTGGTTACGTCAACATAATACGGTAAAAGTTAGTATTGCATTAAATAAGCAACTTTAAAATATATGACATACGAATCACGAGCCACATATCGCACCTCCGGTGAAACACAGGCTGACTGTAAAAAATAAACCATTTTAAAAGTGCATATTTATACGGAAAAGCAGAGATATATTATGCATTTTTCATTTTTTCACAAAGGGTGCAATGCAAATTGAAATAGATTTAAGAGCTCTTTAAATGTACTCTAAAAACAAAAAATAAAACTGTTACACCACACCCTAACAAATATTTTATCACAAAACAATTTAGTAAACTCGCCTTGCCGCTAGATGGCGTTGTGACAAAATAAAAACTAGATAGCACGCCCCAGCTTCCACTTGTGGGACAGGTGGTTGAAAACCCTAGTTACCATAACTTCATTAGCTCGGGTATTCCATAAAACTATCTACCCACGAGCTTCCACTTGTGGGACTCTCCTGAGACGTGATAGTACCTGGTCTGCGAGATACCCCAAGGCCGCGGCTAGGTTTTTTCAATTTCTATACTGCGTGTCGCTGGAGATTTAATTTTTCGATGTATTGTAAAGCAACGACGTTACTATTAAGATTGTATGATCAAATAGCATTCTCTTACTTTAATCGATGAAATAAAAGAAATTAAACGACGTAATAATACGTTGTTTTACATCACAAACGGTTAGGGCGGCATAGTCCGTAGCTCGCGTGAAAGTTTTAAATGGCTCTATAACAAAATATGAATTTCAGATACGTTGTGCTTACTACAAAGCATCACGATGGCTTCGCGTTGTTTCCATCGCGGATTCCAGACTGGAACGCAGTGGAAATAGGACCAAAGAAGGACCTTGTAGAATTGCTTGCAAAATCCGTTAGAAAATATGACATGAAATTTGGCGTTTACTATTCACTGTACGAATGGTTTAATAGATTGTGGTTGAGTGATCAGAGAAGAAATTTTACAACTCATAATTTCGTCGACGGTATAGTGATACCAGATATTAAGCAGTTAATTCTTGATTATGAACCATCGGTGCTATGGTTAGACGGAGACTGGGAAGCAACTTACGATTACTGGAAAGCGACAGAACTTCTGACTTGGATCTACAATGATAGCCCTGTTAAGAATGAAATAGTAGTTAATGACAGATTTGGTGCGGGCATGCGGTGTCATCATGGGGACTTTTACAATTGCGATGATAGGTTTAATCCTAGTAAGTATTAATTCAATTATTATGACCATTGCTCTCGATTGCAGAATGTCTCTGTAATCATTATTGACCTTAAAAATGCAAGTAACACTCAAATTTTTTTTTTGTAACATCAAATGACGGGACGAGCGAGTCGTGCACCTAATGGTAAGCTACACGCCTGTCCATAACAGAGCTTTAAATTACAAAGATCTGGGGGGCACTACTACTGCGCCCGTCACCCCGAGACATAAGTTGATTGTTCCGGTTTTGAGTTGATAAAAACGGAACACAATAATGCTGACATTACTGCTTGGCGGCAGAAGTAGGCAAGGTCGCAGCACTACTCTGGACGAAGTCTTTCACAAGGAGCTCTACTGCTACTAAAAATTTTAATTTATTTAATTTATTTTAAATTAATTTAATATTTAATAGAAATAATATTTAAAGTAGCGGTTAAGTATAGATCAGTTATTTTTATGTGCAACATACGTAATAATATGGTATATCGTATACGTAATAAATATATAATAGGTACAACAACTAGTGGAAGTAGTGTCCGATCCCTTGTAGCCATTATTATGATTTATCTATCATAACCAACTTTTGTTGTGAGTCAACGTTCTCTTAAGCATTATTGTTTAATGTTCTGTATTGTGCTGTCGAAATAATAGCAATAATAACAATGTAACCGGTGAAGGCGTTTTATGTTATCGGTAAGTATTATTTTCACTAAATGAAACATATGACTATTTCCCTAAATATTTGATAGTTTAAAAAGCACCTATGTTGAATTGACATTAAAGTCCAATATTATTTTATGATCCGATAGACCCAGACCTAGAATGTTCCACATATTTATTGCTACGCGGATAGTGTCGAAGTGTGTCCCTGGCATTATGTCAGTTACATATAAACATTTCTTCACAAACATGTTTAGATGTCACTGTTGGTTTTTCTTAATAACGAATACATGAGCGTACACCCTTATTTTTACCCCTTAAAATAGCGTAAAGTAATATGTATTATTAATTATTTTTTCGTAGGTACTTATTACATATTTAATAAAATAAAAATAGTTAATTAATAATTTTTTTTCCAGGAAAATTGATGTTCCACAAGTGGGAGAACGCTTTCACTTTGGATTCCACGTCTTGGAGCTTCAGAAGGAACATGATGCCTAATGACGTTATGAGCATCGATAAGTTGTTAGAAACCATCGTGACTACCGTAAGCTGTGGAGGTAAGCTGATTTTTATTCAGAATATAATAATATTTGCTATACTAAAGTTTATTTTCGTTTTGTCGTCTTTCAATTCAATTCAATTCAATTCAATATTCTTTATTGCACAATAAACAAGCATAAATACAAAACAATCAAAAATACAGTGTACAACAGGCGGCCTTATTGCTAAATAGCAATCTCTGCCAGGCAACCTTGGGGTGATAGGATAAACTAAAAGTAGTAATAATAATAGAGGGCGCAATAAATATGATATTATTATTAAACTCATAATACATGAATGAAATAAATAATAAATATCTACTAACATATAAATTACATAAATACTTAAATACTAATATAATACATACAAATAAATATATTATCACCACAGAAGAGGAAAAAAAAAACCAATAAATAAGACAGCAGAGTAGAATTTATAATTTAAGGTATTGAGCCTTAACTAGGATTTTAAATGACAATAGTCTTTGCTCGTCTGATCGACTCAGGCAGGTCATTCCACAGCTTGATGCTCCTAATAGTGAAGGAGTTGGAAAAGTATTTTGAGGAATGGATAGGACAGTTCAGAGAAAGAGTAGAAGAAGAGAAGTCTTTCCGCATTTAATTAAATCTTTCACTCGTAGTAGGTAGCCAGATCGAAATATTGTAATGTAAGTTCGTAATATGGGTCAGTTAGCGGGCAAAGATCGTTTTTGAGTTAAGGAAGCACCACACTTAACGACAAGCCGGTCCAAAAAGCTTTATTTGTAGTTGTTATTAGCTTGCTTGTATTTTTCTGACTAGCTTACTGGAGCAAAAAAGACGCTGCTCGAAGCGAAAGCTTCTTCTCGGACCGCCGACCCGACGACGCGACGCTCAACGTCTTGGCTATTTTTGGATGAATATAAAGTTTTTTGTGACTAACCTCAAGCCTATCGGTGTAACTGAGTCACCATTTATTAACGAGGTTTCCTTCGTTAATAATTTTGGTGACTAATTACGTTCATTACTGAACTACACGCACATTTAGTAAAAAGCGTTTGCATATTCTTTAATAAACACGTAGTCACCTGTCCTTGATAATGCAAAGTATGACGGATCTCAGCCAATCACAGCAAGTAAGTCGGTCGGATCGCGGCTGTTATTTAATTCATGAAACCTATGCAGTCATATCATACATACACGCACACATTCCACTAAAGAATATCACTTAATAATGGCGGTCGAAACTTTAACTAAAGAAAATAATATATTCTACTTTTTAAGTTGTAAAAAGTAATATAATTAATTCTATGGTATGTAATGGTACATAATGGCGTTTTCAGGAAATGCACTCCTCAACATCGGACCAACAAAAGAAGGCACCATTGTGCCCATATTCAAAGACCGGCTTCAGCTGTTGGGCGAATGGCTCGAAATTAATGGCGAAGCTATTTATGATACATCGCCATGGTATCACCAGAGTGACACAAATAATGCAGATGTTTGGTACACATGTAAAAAGAAATCATACGATTCGTGGAGACCCGCAGACACACCAAATAAAACGGATATCATTTTGGCCATTTACGTAATTTTTTTAAAATGGCCCAGTAATAACGTGTTGATAGTCTCCGACTTAACTCGTTATATGAAGAACCGTAACTATAGTATAAATGTAGTGGGTGGCGAAAGTTATACTCCTGTAAAAGTAAGTGACCAATATATTTATACTTATCCAGTAGCGCCAGAACGACGGGCGCGAATTCCGCGAGAAGAAACAATTCCTCGCGCTTCTATGCCGCTTCTCGTGCAAATCTCGCCTTGTCGTGCTAGCGCTGCAGGAGTGACATTGGCTTATTACCATAGTACCAGTGCTATAATGAGACAAGTAGTCCAACTCCTACTGGTTCGGCGTTTCAATGCCTACACGTCACTCGGAGCGTAGGTTTGTCACTTGCTTCGGCAGTACATATACTAAAAGGCTTGTCACATTATTATTTTAGTTGTACCTACTTCACACCATTACACAACATTTCCCGGACATGTAATATACTGCTGGCACTGAGAAGATTAAAGAAACTGCTATTAGAAATGAATAGGGCGCATAGTGAACAAATAAAGAAAAAAATCAAAGTAGTCAGCTAGAAAACGTTCAAGGTACTGCCTATGAACCGTAAGGAGTGAATAAGGCTACAGCGACAAGAACCTGTCTCTTAAACGAGATGTTGGTGTACCTACGGGTTCCACAACAGAAGTTGAAAAAATTAAGGTGTTCATCAGAATATTACTGTGTTATACTGAAGTAACCTTTGCGTCAAATGCAGAACTTATATATACCAGTACTTATGTATCTCGATTATGGAAGTATGATCATGAAATGACGTAAAATGCGAGTTTTTATAGACATATTGATGTATAATATTAAAAATATAAATTTGACACAGAAAAACGTTTTACAAGTTTTAAAACGTTTTTCGAGCGAATGCTTCAATTCTGTAATGAATAGCGCGTGCGATCCGGGCAGTGCTACTCGAGTGCATCGTGAGATTAAATGAATGTGTGCGTACATCCGTACACTGCGGCATGCGAGTGGCGTTCACACATACTAGTAGCGCTACTACATTTGTATGGAGTTACACTATTTGTCTTATTATACTATGTTATTACAGAGTAAAACGCTAGCACAAACGCTTCGCTACTGTAACCGGAATTAATTGATTATTAAATGTCATATTTTTCAGTACGTTTTGTCAACGCATTTCGTAGCAGTCCATCTGCCCAGCATGTCTAACATGACAAGTAAGTTTGCCTGGACGCTGAGGATTTCTGCGTAAGCAAGACTATAACAAAACTGGATGAGAATAAAAAGAAATAAATCAAAATTGATTTTAGAGTTGTATCACATGCCGTCGTTCCCTTTCACTTCGAATAGAAATTCGATCATCAAAAATTATGTACTTAGCACTATTATGATGTTCATGAAGGTTTCCTACTCGGTTGACTGCTATAAGAGTAAGTTTGTTTGGAAAAAAAAGAAATATATGTAATTTATGTCCGAAAAAGTTTTTCATTTCCAATCCAATTTAAGCCTTTGATAAATGGTAAAGAGTATAAATATAAAATATACGTTTTTAAAAATAAAGAAACACACTCTATTTATTAGGCATTTGTATAATAAAATTAAAATAAAGTAGAATTTAGTATTCAATTTATTTCTCAAATATATTTTAATACAAGCTTTTATTTAAATATCATATTTCTATGTAATAGTCTTTGGTCATAGTATGTACTTAATCTCATAATAAATAAAAATACGCGCAGTGAGAGACAGGATGAGCAAAAAAGAAAAACCGTAGGAGTATTTTTTTTATACTATCAAGTGACGGGACGAACAAGTCATGCGACTAATAGTAAGCTACACGCCTGTCCATAACAAATGCAGTGCCACTCAGAGATTTAATCGCAAAGATCTGAGGGGCACTGCCACTGCGCCCGCCACCCTCAGACATAAGTTGACTAGTCCCATTTGCCTGTGATTTCACCACCACCCTTACCCTTCAAAACCGAAACACAGTAATGCTGACATTACGCTCGGCGGCAGAAATAGGTAAGTAAGGGTAAGAATCCTCAGATCTTTGCGATTAAAGCTTGTGTAACACTGCAACTTATTATGGATGAGTGTGTCACTTACCACCAGGCGCACGACTTGTTAGTCTCATCACTGGATATCATAAAACAAAATTAAATGTGCATTTCAAATAATCGAGCACTCTCTTTGTTTTGCCATTGCAATGCAAATATTTTATATCATATTTGTAATTGTCTATAATTTGTCCTAATTGTTTATTGTACGCCATTCAGGTGGCTATAGTGAATGGTTTTGCCATTATTACGTAAGTTGAACCGTTAAGAACATACATACAGCTAACGGTAAGTCTTTTAAATATATAATTTATACAATTAAATAGAATACTTATAATTATTTATTTTCAGTGTCATATTGTACTAATTTAATTAATTACATAGTATAGAAATCCGTCGGTAAAAATGTATCGGTTTTTTTCGGAAAAATTCCGGTTTATATTTTGATCCAAGGTCCAGAATATTTAAAGGAGTACTTAACGCACCTAGAATTTACATAGGTATTCACCGTTCCCTTGTTGTTTTTGTATTGCGTATATAAGTAAATAAAATAGGTAAATTAAATAAGTAACTTAAATAAGCAAATTGAATAAGCGTATTATATAAGTAAATGAAATAAATAAATTCAACAAGTGAATTAAATAAAAAAATTATCAGATAATTATTGAACAGTAAAGTTGATCTTTCTTGTTTCTAAAGTCTTTATGGTGCTCTGTACGTATGTTCGCCTTCATAATGAGAGGGCCGCGCATATTGTAAGTTAACTCAATAAATGTACTAGAGGGTAATTTTAAGGTTAGTTTTCTCCATCTAATTTCGATGACATTTTTATTATTTAAATATTACAGAAGGAAGAAGTATTATCAATCATGAAGTATTATTTAATATTCGAATACTTAAATAATACAAATTGACACCGAAATTGGCTAGAGAAATTTAGTCTGAAATTACACAAGAACGAAAAAACAAAAAAATGCATTGAAACATTGACTTAAAGTCAATGCATTGAAATCTCAAATATATCAAATGCATTGAAAACTTTTTAAGTTAATTTAGATGGTAAATTTTAAAACTGTGTTTTTACTACACGGAACTTGTTTAATGTAATTACAGTTTAAAATATGACATGTACAAAAGTGAAGAAATAACTCTATGAATGTACTAAGTAATACAAAACGTGTCTTACCCTTAGAGCGTTTGGGCACTGCCCCCGATCCGTATACGTTCCGAATCTAAGAAAAACTAGAAAACGCGGATTGTTTTGTCGCTTATACATTGTGTCCGATACGACGCTGCAAAATCCACTATTTACAATTCAATTTACGTAAACGCCCCTAAAACTAAAACTAAACTAAAACTAAAGAGAGGTGTGGGTCAGCCTTTCTGATGCAGGTCACCATTACACAAATTAATAACCGAATTATGAAAATTTATGAACAAAATATCTTCTAGTTTGTTATAATTATTAATACAAAGATCGAACACTACTATATCTTTTCTGAGTGTTTTTTCTGAGTGTTCGATCTTTGTATTAATAATTATAACAAACTGGTGGAGTAATTTCACACAAAATAATTGAATATCAATTCAATAAAAATTTAATTAAAATATCTTCTTTTAATCCATTCGATATAAACATGTTGGTGGTATAAATTATATGTGCCGCCTTACGCGTTTGACATTACGCGTTTAACATCATACTTACATGGAATTGTAAGACAGATGTAAACTGTACTAAATTAAAATAACGTAAGCTTAACCCTTCCATAGATATATCATGTGGGTGATATTTGTGCTCGCTGCAGTGATAATATACGTAAGTGCGATATACAAGCCTGAGTGGGAGGATTTGGACAAACGCCCCCTTCCCCAATGGTACGACGTCGCGAAAATTGGTATTTTCGTTCATTGGGGTTTGTACGCTGTACCAGCTCATAAATCTGAATGGTTCTGGCATTACTGGGAAAACGGTAATTACTATATTTTTTAATGTCCTTAGTAATGATTATCTTACGGCCAGTTCTCACAGGGGCATCACAAACGATTTTTTTTAAAGATACTTTTTAGAAGAGTTGCTATATACCATAGATTAAATACCTTCTTTACAATCTAAATCTGACTCATTTTATGATTCATTGAATGTATTCCATTGAAAATATTGATAAAAAATCGTTAGAAATCATCAGAACACGACATATTTGTAGACGTGAATGGTGAAAGCCAACCGTCACGTCAGATCGCATTCGATAATAATCTCAGTACCTACAGAGTACTAAAAAAACCGACCTCTAAAGTCATTCAGCCCCTAGGTTGGTACCCTTAGAGGTGGAATATTTTCTCACTCTCTCAAATGGGACCACAGATACCCACTTTTCAACAAAAAAAAGAATCATCAAAATCGGTTCTTAAATTTATCAAATTCGCTTAAATTCGGAGTTATCGCATAACACCTACATAAAAAAACATACAGTCGAATTGAGAACCGCCTCTTTTTTTGAAGTCAGTTAAATATAAAACCGACTTAACTTCCCGTTCCTCTCGTCAGAGCGCAAGAAACTAAAACACAATATACATACGAACAAATCTAGAGTATTATTATATATATAAGTTCCGACTATACCTACGTTTACGTGAATAAAACAAATACAAAATCTCGCCTTACGCGTTTGCGTCAAAAATGCCTGTTCACTCTAACTTTGACATGATTAATTAATGATATTATGTAGAAAGTTGTCAAAGGGTTGTGAACCTTTTTTGATTCATCGCGTTGCTTTCCTTTATCGTTAGCGAGATATACTGCTTCTAAATATTCACAAATGGGATTCCAACTCGCACGTACAACCAAATGCTGTTGTAACTCTAAAATGGATGAATTGAGAAAACACGATTTGAAAGTTCAAAAAAAAAGTTGAAGAAATCTTATTGCCAATAATGTAATTTAAAGTCATTTTTATTTCATCTTAATACAAATTTTACATTGCTGTTTCTAATTAAAAATCAACACTGGGCTTCGTCAATAGGTACTAAAATAAAAAAAACCTGGGATTTGCAAGATATTTTAAAAAATTCCGCCTCGTATCGTGCCCGGCTCAAAAGGTCCCATTATACTGGCAGCATTGCCTCGCTGAACGGCAATGGACACTTGCTAAACCAACCACGACCCAGAGCGGTGATCGCAGCCCCTGTCTCTGAGTCGGCGAACCAACTCTTTAAACATGTCCCGAGCTTCCGGACCCCAGGGCCCCGCAGTCTCGACCGCGACCGGTACGAAGTCGTACATCGGCTCCACGGCAGAATATTTAGCATGTTTTAGTTTCGCGGCATTTTCACGAACCTGCCAACCGCGAAGTTTGTCTTAAGTGGGACGCAGCAAAAGTACTTACACATGTTGCGTCCCACAGAAGACAACGACCTTTCCGCCAAGGGACCAACGTCAAACCGTCCGGCCTTTTACCGTCGATTTGACTCAGACTCGGGGGTTCGAGTACGCAAGGGACATTAGCTGACACCATCGCCCGTCCCACAATATCATTTATGGGGTGGTGTCTGGGAGAACGACCCGCACATCTTTGGCAACTTAAGCCATGGTGTCCGTCCTCCATCACCATTATACTACACACAGCGGTGTGGCTCACACACTTGGCTTCCCAAACGCAATGCTACCGCTATCCTCAAAGAATTATCATCGAGCAGAGTACCCCAACTGTGGAGACGGCAAAGCATGTAACCACGCTCCCGACTCCGATCTATCGACGGCTTTGAGGCGGGCCATATCAGTACCCAAAGCGCTTTCCAACAAAGAACCGTATATTTCTTTGCAGAGAATATCGTCCCGATTTCTCTGCAAACAAGTATTGTCTGGGTGTTCGTCGCTCGGGCAAAGGCTACACCACCTTGCAAGAGCCTCTGACTGGAATGGCACGCGAATTCCGCTGCTGTAATTATTTTTATTTATACATAATATTTATAGTTATCCATTTTTAAATGAGAACATAAATCCTTCGGTTTCATTCAGTAATTTTTGAACTTGCAAATTGTGTTTTATCAATTCCACAATTTTGAGTTAATACAGTATTTGGTTTTACGTGCGAATAGCCAAACTCTCAATTGACGAGCAACCTTTCATCCCATTGGGCTCCAATATAGTAGTTTCTATTGTTTCTATTGCAACAGGAAAATAAATTTCATAGTGCTTTATAATTTTCTCTGGGTTCTAGATG